ACTGAACCTGTCTGGTCAGGTTCAGTTAATCAGTTTCACACTGAAAACACTTGTTGTCAGGGACACAAAATTTGACCATAAATGGACACATTGGTCAGAAAATGATTTTTAAAATTACTGTTGTATTTGGAATGATTGCTAAACAAGGTAGCTGCTAAATGAGGAGTGGCTGTAAACTCAGACCTCAGAGGCTTTTAGATAGTGCTACTAACCCCTCCACACAGGTACCCTATCAATGCTGCTGCCACCCCTAACACCACCACTGACAAACTTTACCCTTGCTGTTCCCAGTTGCTGATGACTTACCTCAATCAAGTTTCTCACCAGGAGGTACTGTATTTCCACCTAATGTATGATGGTGGATAGCAAGGCAGAATAGAGCTACGTATCAACTCCCTTCTAGAAGCGCTGCATGAATATCAGTAATACATTGGACTCAATGCAGTATGATGGCACCTAGTGCAGAATTATAGCAAGCATTCATTTATCCTCCTCTTCTTTTTCGAAAAGCTGTATTTGGCCCTTCTGAACACGCTAACCTCCCCCTGTTGCCCAAGGTGCTGATTCTTGATGTCAGGCTTGAGAGAGGATTAAAATATATTTGAAACAGCATCAAATAATATAGCCTCCACATGTGCATTGGTACAACTAGGCAGAAAGCTTTCTTCTCCATCAGCAGTCTTGTTACTGGAGACCTCCTGTTGAGCTACTGAGGAACACCAAGACATCATAAATAAAATCTGAGGGGGAAAACGCTGCCTTTAACAGAAAGAACAATGATGTTTTTTCTAGAAATGCCTTGATGGCAGCAAACGACCTCATGATTTTTACAATAAGAATGATCTTATTTTTCACCTTTCTCAACTTTTTTTCTGCATTTATAATACTTAGCCAAGATCCTGTAAAAGCATGTGTTCATATCTAAGCCAATGCTCCTTGCCCTTTTGTCTTAAATCTAGACTGCCCTTGAGAATTCAGATGATTGCTAAAGCAATTTCTTTCCTTTTTGCTGTCACCTCAAGATTGCTTTGTTTTTCTATTGCTCACCTTGACTTTTTGTTCCACCATTTGATCTTTCATTTATGTTTTGAACAGTGTTACAGAACTTTACTTTATTCCTTAGCATTGTTACTGAAACATTCTGATGAATTCATCTTGCATTTAATGGCTACTGTGATCTAATGTGGTCCTCAGTGCTATTTAGTCACTTTGCAGCAGTGGTGTGATTCTATCTAGTTTACACATTCTTTGACATAGAGTAGAAAATAGCATTTAGTTCCTTTATTCTTATTCTGTGTCCATCCCTGAAAGAATGCAAGAATGTGTGGAGCAGCCATTCCCAAGATGAAAGTCAAGGAACAAAAAAAAAAAAAATTAATTGGAAAAAATGCACCCTGACTGGAATAACTGCTGACAGACATGCAAGAACATATATTGATACCTGTATCATTCGTTACTACTATTGGTATTGCATAAAAAAATTGAGGGAGGTGGAATCATATATAACTATATTCTTTGATCAATTAAACTTTTCATTTCTGTGAAAACCATATATAAGCATACAATGTTTATTTATTATTTATTTAGTAATTTACATGACTTATATGGCTGTCTGTCTCATATAATGGCTCTAGGTGGTTCACATCAATCAATA